CCGAGCCCCGGAGCCGTATCCCGGCCCCTCCGGAGAACGGGGCCGTTCCCGAGGGCTCCGAACCGGGATCGTCCTGCGGGAGCCCGGCCCGGGACACTCCTCTGCTCAACGGGCTCAAGACGGATTTCGCGCGGGCGCTGCCGGAGGCGGCCTCGGAAAACGACGGGAAAATCGGGAGCTGCGGCGCCGAGCACGGTGAGGGGGGGCAGGGGGAGACCCCCCTGAGGGGTGAGGGGGGGGAGATCCCCCCAGTTCCTGAGGAATCCGAGCCCTGAGACCCCAAATTCTTGAGGGATCCAGTTCCTGAGGGGGGCTGAGAGTCCCAATTCCTGGGGGATCTGAGACCCCCAATTCCTGAGGATTCCCAGCTTTGAGAGCCCCAAATCCTCAGGGATCCAAACCCTGAGACCCCCAATTCCTGAGGGATCCGAGCCCTGAGACCCCCAATTCCTGGGATGAGAGCCCTGAGACCCCCAATTCCTGGGATGAGAGCCCTGAGACCCCAATTCCTGAGGGATCTGAGCCCTGAGACCCTCAATTCCTGAGGGATCCAGTTCCTGAGGGGCTGAGACCCCCAAATCTTGGGGGATCTGAGCCCTGAGACTCCCAATTCCTGAGGGATCTGAGCCCTGAGACCCCAAATTCCTGAGGGATCCAGTTCCTGAGGGGCTGAGACCCCCAAATCCTGGGGGATCAGAGCCCTGAGACCCCCAATTCCTGAGGGATCCAATTCCTGAGGGATCCAGTTCCTGAGACTCCCAATTCCTGAGGGATCTGAGCCCTGAGACCCCCAATTCCTGAGGGATCTGAGACCCCCAAATCCTGAGGGATCTGAGACCCCCAAATCCTGAGGGATCCAGCTCCTGAGGGGGCCAAGACTCTGAATTCCTGGGGGATCCGAGCCCTGAGACCCCAATTCCTGAGGGATCCAATTCCTGAGGGATCCAGCTCCTGAGACCCCCAATTCCTGAGGGATCCAGTTCCTGAGGGGGCTGAGACTCCCAATTCCTGGGGGATCCGAGCCCTGAGACCCCAATTCCTGAGGGATCTGAGACCCCCCAGTTCCTGAGGGATCCGAGACCCCAATTCCTGAGGGATCCAAATCCTGAGGGATCCAATTCCTGAGGGACTGAGACCCTCAATTCCTGAGGGAGTAAGACCCCTCAATTCCTGAGGGATCCAATTCCTGAGAGGGCTGAGACCCCCAATTCCTGAGGGATCTGAACCCTGAGAGTGAGGCTGGGAAAGGCGGGAAAAGGTGGGAATGCGGCTGGGAAAAGCTGGGAATGCAGCTGGGAAAGGCAGGAATGTGACTGGGAAAGGCAGGAAAAGCTGGGAACGAGGCTGGGAAAAGGCAGGAACGTGGCTTGGAAAGGCGGGAAAAGCTGGGAACGAGGTGGGGAAAGGCAGGAATTAGGCTGGGAAAAGGCAGGAATTAGGCTGGGAAAAGGTGGGAAAAAGCGAAAATGAGGCTGGGAAAAGCCAGGAACGAGGTGGGAAAAGCCAGGAACGAGGCGGGAAAATCTGGGAACGGGGCTGGGAAAAGGCGGGAACGAGGCTGGGAAAGGCGGGAAAAGCTGGGAACAAGGCGGGGGAAAGGCCTGGAAAAGGCGGGAACGACGCTGGGAAAGCCGAGAAAAGGTGGGAATGCAGCTGGGAAAAGGCCTGGAAATGAGGCTGGGAAAACCTTTCCCCACACACACACTGGGAAAGTCGGGAAAAGGCAGGAACGAGGCTGGGAAAGGCAGGAAAAGGCAGGAACGAGGCTGGGAAAGGCAGGAAAAGGCGGGAATGTGGCTGGGAAAGGCAGGAAAAGGCGGGAATGGGGCTGGAAAAGGCGGGAAAAGGTGGGCCTGACGCCGTGTCCGTGTATCCCGGCAGAGCTGAGCTGCTCCAAGGACGAGCAGGAGCTGGAGGAGCTGCTCCTGGAGGCCAGTCGGGATTCGGGGCAGGAGCCGCTCTGAGCGCAGGTGAGCGGGAGCCGGGATGGGAAAACCCCTGGAATTCCAGCCGGGAATGCCCCGGGCCGCTCCCTGCCGTTCCTCTCCGGGATCTCCGGCCTTTTCCCCCTCACAATTCCCGGAATTTCAACCGAATTCCTCGTGGGAGGGGGTGAAAAAAGGGTTCTTTGGGGAAAAAAACGTGGATTGTTTCCCGGTTTTCCTGCCCCGAGATTTTGGGAAGGGCAGGAGAGAGCAGGGAACGGATCCCAAAGCTTCG